TTTGAAATGACCTTGAAGGACATGGTCAAGGTCAAAGTCAAGGTCATCGTCTTATTCCCCGCTTGAAACCATACAACTTTGCTATTGAACATTTTCTCCAAAATGCATTCTAACTGAAGATATTAGGGGAGTCCGATACTTTTCGATGACCCTGCATATAAGAACGATGATCACAAAACCGCACAACTTGTACTATGGAGTTCACTTTTATAGTAAAAAGAAGTGATATACTTTTTGATAATGGAAATTACGGTTATAATAGTAATCCTTTCCATTTGAATATGTACAGAAAGATGAAAATAAATAAATGAAAATAACTCCAATAGCATAAAATGCCTGAGAACATACTGGGACACTAGACGCCTAGGAATAGCTCTAGGGTAATTCTGGAATATCTGATGTTATTTTGGAGCTAATTAATTTAGAATAGCAACTCAGCAAACACAGAACATAACTGTGATATGACACAGGAGTAACATGTAATATAACTGATGTTATACGTTACTAATATTAAGGTTACTTAATTTCCTTTATAACTGCGATATAACTATGTTATAAAACTGTTATGTTATTATGTTATTTACTGGTTAAGTTACATTAACAATATAACAGCAACATAACTTTAATATAACATATTATATAAGAAGTCTAATATTTGCATTACATTTCAGTTGTGCAATATTTTTATACACAAATGTGAAATTATATTTTAGGTGTTTCTCGTATATAAAATGTGATATTTTAATATATGCAAGGATCACGATATTGTAAAACTAGAGTTCTTACAAAAAGAGTCTAATCATAACCTTACTCTGTCAAAGTATTGTGAGAGAGAAAGAAGGAACTTTCTCTTTCTTTTACGAGCACGTTGTAGGTTAAAATTTGATTACTGATACAACATTGTATCAATATTAATCGCATCGTGATTGTCGTGTCAAACATTTCCAACATTGTTAACATTTATTTACCAACAAATATGTCATAACATTTTTTGAACGATACAAGAGTATATTGTAAATATTATCTATCAAGATATCGTTACGGCGCACAGCATCACCAGTTCCCGGCCGATCGTTGAAGTTAAGCATTGAAGAACATGATCTAAAAATGGGTGACCGCCTGACATAGGATCGAATCCACGCGAGTTTCACGAATAATTAAAATAATACGGAATATGAAATGTCAATTTTTTTTTTATTATTTAGACAAAATAATCATATATTATCTG